ATTTTTTTTATACACACACACACACACACACACACACACACACACATATATATAGTTAAACTTATGTGTTTGAATTTTTCATTTTACAAATTTCATAAAACCCTCTCTTTACTGGTGCTAATTTTATGTGATACTACATAGATCAAGTTCTTTAAAAGTAGTATTTGCCTCTTCTAAAGCCAGTGTAATATCCAGATGCCTATGATCTATTCCAAGGCAGAAATCATGTTGTGATTTTCCTGTAACTGGTAAGAGAAGAAGAAGAAGGAGGAGGAGGAGGAGGAGGAGGAGGAGGAAGAGGAGGAGATATTGAGGGAAATGCTTGCTGAATGGATAATCAAGCATAGTTTCAAATTGTAAACATTTCTAGAGAAGTAATATGAGATCCTTAAAGAAGTTTACCATTTACTCTAGTTTCCCTCTTTTCTGAAAATAATATGTAAATAGACAAATTTCAAGCTAATTGTCAGTTTTACACACTTCTTTATTCAGCAACAACATCCTCAAGAGAAATAAAGGCAGCTGCTATGACAACATGTCACAGACTGGGTGGCTTATCACAAGAGAAATTTATTTCTCACAGTTCTTTTTTTTAAAAAATGTATTTTTATTGATTTCAGAGAGGAAGGGAAAGGGAGAGAGAGATAGGAACATCAATGAAGAGAGAATCATTGTTTGGCTGCCTCCTGCACGCCCCACTCTGAGGACTGAGCCCACAACCCAAGTACGTGCCCTGACTAGTAATCAAACCGTGATCTCCTGGTTCATAGGTTGACACTCAACCACTGAGCCACGCCAGCCAGGCACATTGCTCACAGTTCTGAAGGCTCGAAGTTCAAGAACAGAGTGCCAGTGTGGGCAGGTGCTAGTTAAGGCCCTCTTCCAGGTTGCAGATGGTAGCCTTCTTGTGTCCTCCCATGGTGGAAGGGGTGAAGGTGCTATTGGTGGAAGTGGAGTTCTTAGGGTGCCACGAGGAAAAAAATTTCCTGAGACCCCCCAGGATGGTGTCCCAACACCTCAACAGTCTCTAGTATGGGAAATCGGAAGCCTGTCTGTTAGGCTGAAGCTCCAGAATTAGTAAATATATCTTTTTTCTCTTCCTGTCTAGCTATTGGAAAAGCTAACAGAAGATGGAACTAAAGATGCCAATGAAGAGTCTTCCCAGTGCTTCTGTCTGCTGTTTATACAGTGCCCCGAGGGTGGTAGCCTGCCAAGAGCGGTCTTTTTTTTTTTTTAATATATTTTATTGATATTTTACAGAGAGGAAGGGAGAGGGATAGAGAGCTAGAAACATGATGAGAGAGAAACATCCATCAGCTGCCTCCTGCACACCCCCCACTGGGGATGTGCCTGCAACCAAGGTACATGCCCTTGACCGGAATGGAACCTGGGACCTTTCAGTCCACAGGCTGACGCTCTATCCACTGAGCCACACCGGTCAGGGCAAGAGCGGTCTTTTTGATTGTTACTGCCCCGAGGAGCCCAGGAGGGCAGCTCCCTAGGTCAGCGGAGTGATCCAGGGGCACACACCCCCCTCCCCCGTGTGGATCGCAGACTCCCGCTGGTTTTAGGGAGGCAGCTGGAAAGTAACACTGTTATGGGTTCAGTATTCTTAATGGTCGCACCCGGAATTTTTCTAGTCACCTTCTTTTAGGCACAGATTTGACTGTTATCATGAACTCTCTACAGAGACTCCTACCACCCTTTTCTTATTCATAACCAAGAGCTCAACACGGCATTGTCTTATACACATAGTTCCACATTATTTCCCCTAACACACCGTTTTTACACTTGTCAAATCTGAAACTCAAACATCCCTGGTGGGTAGGCACTGTCTTCACTTTCCTGTGCTTGTGACGGCACTTAGGACGCTGCCTCAGAGACGTGGTGTGAACCTGTGGACAGTGCCAAGCAAGAGACATCACGGGCGGGTGCGGATTCTATCGCAAGTTTGGGGA